TCTAAATCAAGCTTTATCCTTTATCTACAGTAATCTCTCTCTCTCTCTCTCTCTCTCTCTCTCTCTCTCTCTCTCTCTCTCTGTGTGTGTCACACACACACACACACACACACACACACACACACACACACACATTATGTAGGACCCCAGCTGCCAGCCTTGAGCCTGCTGAGGCCACTTAGCATGGATAGTGACACACACCCTTTTTTGAATGGATTCATCTAGATTTCTGCTCATGCATCACTGGCCATTAACTGCAGGCACTTGATGCTGATTACTCATTTCTAAGGTCGGTTGCATTCTATTATTCAGAGTCTCATTACTCAGACCCTGCAGTTTGTACCTCAGGGGGTTGAGCACAGGGAAATAGTAGCATTCTCACATTAAGCGCTAATGCTAATGCTAAAGCTAAAACACGCATAAAAAAGGGGACACTTACCCAAAGTGGTATAAATGCTTACAGAAAAGGTTTTAAAAGGGAAAAAATATGCAAAACAAAGAGAAAAAACTGCTAAAGAAGAGGAGCTGGCAAACAGTCAATTAACTTCCATAAAGTTAGAAGACAAAAAAAGCCATGAAATATTTGAAATCATTGGTAAATTAAGCAGCATAGGCTGATATGCTATTTTTGTTCTCTAAACTGAACAAGGTGGAACATTACTTGAGTCCACACTTCTCCTAAAGCATCATATCATATCATTAAGTTTAATGCCATGGTGGCCATGTTGCTGTAGGGTTAATGGCATCAGCCTGTCTACTTGTTCGTCCCTTCAATGATGAAATTATGCTAAATTATAGAAAAAAAACACAACACTGTTACATGTAAGTTGCTGTTTGCTGCCAATTAATTTGATTTAATTTAAAGAGGTTATGCACTGTTCATCTCCTTTTCCATTATATTCTTATGTCAACCCTCTTTTACATTTGGTATTAAAAAACAACATAATAACGTCTCTTAAGGTGAGGTAGAGGTTACTTGTAGGAGTGACGAACTACTTGTTCACTATCTGCAGTGCAGCTCTCGCTTCTTTAACTGCATTGTTGGCTTGTCCTTCTGCTTGTTGGCAAGGCAAAAGAATCTCTTATATCCTTTTATCGTCATCTTCTGTTTCCTCTGCAACCTCCTTTTTCTCCACCACGCCCCCTTTTAAAATTTTCTCTCCACCCATGACTGCATCTGTTCTATTTGCATCTTCATATATTATTCATCCTCATCACCCAGTTTTCAATCCCCACATCTTTACGTCCTCTGGTCTTATATGTCCTCTCTCCTAACTTTTCTCAGTATGTCTGTCACTTTGCTGGCAGCCTTCCGCTGTTTTCTTTTTTCATGGCTGTCTAGTCTTCATTTAATTAGCACACTCGACATGCATCCCCAAATCCAACAGGCTGCAACATATGGCATTGCTCTTTCTGCCCCCCACCCACCCTCCTTTTTTTTTTTTTTTTTTGCACATTACTCCATATTTGCTTTGTTTTTCATTGTTTTAATTGTGCCTGTCTCCTTTCTCCCTCTGAGTCTGAATCCAGCTCTGCAGTGACTATAGACAAGGTGCTACATTAGTGATACTTACAGAACGCAAGGACAGCAATTATGTTATGCTCATATGCAAAGCATTAGATCTTGTTATTCGCTGCGGGATGTATTTAATGTTGATGATGTCACCTTTTCTGTATATGAGGATCGTGGGAAGCAGAGCCCCCATCTGCTCCTGCTGTTCTGCTGAGTCACAGTTACTCAGCACAGTGTGGATATGTGTATTTGTTGCTAGTACATAGTCAATTTGTTACTGTGGAGTGTAGTTTTGCATTCCCAAGCAGAAATGCTAAGACTGTACTGCTGTTTTTGTGTGTAAACAGGCAATATAGAAGGCTTTTTTGTCAGGCTGTCTGTCTGTCCGTCTGTTTCCTTCTGGTTTGGTAAACCAGTCTGTGTGTGTGTGTGTGT